GTGCGGGGGGTATATTATATATATATATTAATATATAATATTGATATAAAAGCCAGGCATACAGTATATGCTCAATAACTATTAGCTTTTTTAAAAAATTACAGTTGATATAAGTGATTAGCTATTTTTAATATCGCAACAAGTAACCCATGACTATGCTAGCATTGCATTGATATCTGCAGCATTCCAGACATTTCATAAATATTTGACTCATTACCTATTGATTGATTCTGCAGCCAACATGCGAACTTGGTGGTCATTATCAGCAAGAAATTGTGGAAATACTTCATTTACAGAAAAGGTTTTTCCCGCTGAATTAAGAATAGCCCATTCTGAATAAGGATCAGCCTATGGAAAAAGAACAACTTAGGTTAAATACAAAATACTAAGAAAGAAATCACCCATTAACAAACAAAAACAAAAGCTGTTTTTAAAATTTACGGAAAACTTTCTAACACTTAATGTGGAGTAACTCACCTCAAGCAAAGTTTTCAGGCATTTTACTAGTGCCATTCTTACAGAGAATATACATTTCCCCTCCTTGATTAATTGCCTGAAATAAAGTGTTTCAATGTCAAATAATTATTCCAATAAAAGCACAGTAAAAAAAAAATCACTTCCAAAATTTCTTTCCATGCTAACTTTAATCATTATGTGGCACGTGCCAATATTCTCATCTTCCAAAAAGAATTCCATATAAAAGAAATGCTTAGTTCATTTTAATGTATATTATTAGATTTTTATGAGTATGTCTGATTTAGCTATCTTACTTCAGCTAACCATGTTATAGTAATCTTAATTTAAAGGGAAACATTTTTAAGTCTTTGTTGTTATATCAAAAATTTAAAAACCATTTCTATATTGATTCTGAAGTCCTTTACAGTCAAATGATATGAGAGCTCTAAATTATATATATGTGCTACTCTGTAAGTATCATAGTGTTGTCTCACACTATGATTATATACATGAAATAACCAGATACTGATAAGGCCAATTCCATTGATTTCGACATGATGTACTTTGCTTTATTTGCCATATATGTCAAACTATTAAGTGATTCAAAATTTGCAGGGAAATACTAAACACACTTTAGAAAGCCAAGCCTTAAGAAAAATACAATGTAGTTCTTCAAGAAATTAAGGGGGAAAAAAACACAAATTACATTTACTATTGTTAAAAGAATATGTAATTACAATTAAGGATTAGAAGAAGTCACTAATGCAGAAATATAAAAGTTACATCTGTATCAGAAGAAGCAAAAAAAGAACTCCACAGAATAATCTGTACCTACCAAAACGCTTCAATAACTGTTAGAAACTGTCCTTGAGCATCCTTTGTGTTCTCAGAATCCATATTGCCTTGACATAGGTTCCCCACTATATGAATGATGTGGTTTAAAATTGTTTTACAAACTTCTTGGTCACGGCGATATAAAGAACACAATTTGCTATGGTGGAAAAAGTTTAATTTTATAAGCATAACAGAACACATCAGTTAGTTTATAAATTTTAAGTGAACATAACATGGTTTTAATTGCTTACGATAGTGGTTTCAGAAGTTCAACAACATCTTCCATTGGCAAAGGATATTCTTCTCCAGGAAGCTCCTTTAAAAGCACTAGATACTAGGATAGTTGGGTGGGTGGAGGGTAGGGAGTGAGAAATCAATTGTTTTTAAACATGTCATTTACTTAAATAAGTATATATTTAACCACAAAATCATATATTCATACACACAAGCACACACAAGACCAGTGATTTTCTTTAAAAGGCAGTATAGTAAAAGAAGAAAAAAAAAGAAAAAAAGCAATTGAGGTCAAACAGAGCTGGATTCAAATCCCAGCACAACTTATTACTTGTGCGGTTAAAAAACTTGCAATGTCACCCAGCTAGTGTTGCTCAGTAGTTGAGCACCAACGCAGGAACCAAGAGGTCACCAGTTCGATTCCCAGTCAGGGAACAGGCCCAGGTTGCATGCTCGATCCCCAGTAGGGGGCTTAGAGGAGGCAGCCAATCTATGATTCTCAAATGAACAATATTTCTATATCTATATTCCTCTCCCTTCCTCTCTTTTTAAAAATCAATAAAAACATTAAAAAAACAAAAAAATTGCAGTCATCTGAGCCTTTGTACTCTCACCTGTAAAATGGGGATATAGAATTTATTTAGCCAGATTACTGTGAGGATTAAAGAAAATGAATGTAAAGATCTAACATTTATTGTAGGAATTCAATTAATGATAGTTATTAATTGCTGGGATTAAGTGCCTGAACAAGAATCTAAAACTATATTGTTTCTAACCTTGCTCGTACCTTAATTAGAAGAAATATTTTAATATTGTTATTCACCCTTTCTCTATAATAGATTTGTCAACCAAATTCACAATCAACAATGACAGATCGAAACACACGGGTGCGATTGGTGCCAGCGAGCACTTTACATATAAATATAGACAAACTTGCTTAATTAGACCTGCTTTCTGATGTAGCTAAACTTTTTCCAGTCCAATGAAGCACCCCAACTTCTCTTTCAGGTAATTGTCAGCAACACAGCAGCAAATTATCAACACAAAGCAGATTATTATTGTAGGGAGAACAAAGGGTAAAATATTTAACTGCAGCAGTGTTTGACTATAGTCTGTGCAGTGAGAAAACCTGAAGTCATTTTCAAGGTCCACCATTTCTTACTTCTTTTCAGTCGGGTCACGTTTCTAAGCTTTCTAAATCTCCATTTTCCAGGTAATGAATAGGAAATAGGATTCCACTGAATCTCCTATCTGCCTATTCCAGGACTTCTGTGAGGATCAAATGAGATGAGGCACGGGAAAATGCTTCACAGACATTTGGTTAAAGTGTAAAGTGTTTCCACCTGGCTATAAAGCAAGTCGTGTTCCTAGGCCAGTGATGGCGAACCTTTTGAGCTCGGCGTGTCAGCATTTTGAAAAACCCTAACTTAACTCTGGTGCCGTGTCACATATAGAAATTTTTTGATATTTGCAACCATAGTAAAACAAAGACTTATATTTTTGATATTTATTTTATATATTTAAATGCCATTTAACAAAGAAAAATCAACCAAAAAAATGAGTTCACGTGTCACCTCTGACACGCGTGTCATAGGTTCGCCATCACTGTCCTAGGCTGAAGAAAATCCAAGGAGGCTAGTTGCTAGGGAAAGGAAGCCAGTTGTTGCTATGTGACGTCATTATCTGGTGCCCACAGCCACTGTTTCTGGGATGGACTGGGCTGTAGGTTGCATTTTGTACCATGGGGTCTTGGCAGCATTGGCTGCAATTTGGTGGGCTGTCACTCCAGGGTGGTGACGGGGCCTGTGTTCCACTTGGGGAAGCCGATTGTTGTTTCGTCAGCGCCAGCTCTGCGTTGCCATTTCTCTGTAAATGGCCAGTGCTTGTCACAGCAGCTCCTGTGTTGAGCATCTGCCCCCTGGTGGTCAGTGCACGTCATAGCGACCAGTCAGGCAGTCGGATACTTAGCATATTAGTCTCTTATATATATAGATTACTTTTACATTCAGAATCTGTGTTTCTTGGCCTAATTTAAAGAACTTATAATTAAGTATATCTTAAGATAATAAATCTACCTAAAGTCAATCCAAGTTTTAATGTTTCCGTGTCTACTTACATTTTTTTTCCAAGCACTTTAAAGAAAAAAGTGTATTTTATAACTAGTCTCAGATTCATTTATCAAGAAAGCAATTTCAACACTTTACAGGTACTATGTGATTCTGATGTCAATCTATTATCTTCAGCAGCAATGCCAGACAGAACTATAAAGAATCTTCATTTTACTTAACTTACCATGTGTAGGTGGAGAGATTTAGTAAGATCTAGTATACTAGGATCAATTAACATTAACAATTTCCTCCGAATATCAACTGCTCTAAATGACACAGGACTGGTCTGAGCAGTGGTTACGCCTACGCACAAGAACTTGAGCATGTCTAAAAAAAGCAGATCTTGTTTTGACAGATGTTCCTCAGCTAAGGGATTCATGGCACCTAGAAATAAAAAGCACTTGTTAAAACTAAGAGCAGGGCACAACAGCCACACACAAGGAACATTATTAGCTCAAATAGCCTCCCCTCTATCAAGAAAAAAAGATTAAAGTATATGATGAAATCAATTAAACACTAAAAGCTTCAAAATTCTTCATTAAAGGTTACCCCAGGATTCTATCATCAAGAAATGATCTATGGAAAAATCTATATGGACATTCAGTTCAGTACTATTAATTATAAGAAAATAGAAAAGAAATCTAAATTTCTAACAGTAAATAATGGTCAAGTAAATTATGTTATGTATGTTAATTGGGATACTATAAAGCCATTAAAAAATATGCTCATCAATTCAAGCAGCTCAATGAAAAAAAAATGTTTATAATTAATGTTAAAAAATCAAGGTGTAAAAAAGACATAAGAATGTCAATGCTAATTATAATTTTCAAAAGGTCTATAGACAAATAACAGAAAAAGTTTAAAAGGATGGCATTATGACTTTATCACTCTCCTGCTTTCAATTTTCAAAAAAAATCTATTATATGATTTTCTTTAGTGATTATTTTAATTGTCCTTATGAAGAACAGAAAACTAATAAATTCCATTAAAATTAAAGAATCTAAAGGGTACAGAAAAAAAACAATCCTAATAAACTTTACCAAAAAATAAAATGAGCATACAATTGGTATCAATGAGGATTTTTGTAATGTAAAATCAATATGAAGAAATAAAAGAAATCCCACAAAGTAAATATATATTTACCAATAATAAGCTGGCTCTCTCCAGATTCATTTGCATCACTAACACTACTAGGAGGGTAATCATTAAATAGACTCATGGATGACTGATTCTCCATCTCCTTTACATTTTCAGTGTCATCTTCCACTGATTCTACTTGTCCATAGTCAAGTGGCTTTTTTATAAAGGAGACCTTCAAAAGAGAAAGAAAGATGTTTTTTCAAGTTGGCTTCTTTCCAAAGCACATTGTAATTAAAATTCACCTAATCATTTGGCTCAAGATTCATATGCATGAACACTGCAGGATTATTTCTATTAAATGTCCAACAACAGAAAAATGGATATAAATAGTAATGTCTACCTAATAGAATAATATGCAATCTTTACAAAAAATTTCTTACACTAAGAAATTTTAATACTACCCAAAATTGATAAGTGTGGAAAAAAGTATAAATTGATATGATTATTTTGAGGACAATTACTATATCCATCAAAAACATAAAATTCACATTCCTTCTGAACAAATAATTTCATTTCTAGAATATCTCCTTCATCCTTCATAGGTACAGATATAAATAGACAAAACAACCTTTACCACAGAAAAAAAATAGAAACTACTTAAAATGTTAATTAAGACCCAATGCACTGGGCTTCCAGTCAAGGCAGAGGTATAGATAAATGCAACACTCACATCCTCCCAGGAGCACATCAAAATTACAACTAAACTCCAGAACAACCATCACTCAGAATCACCTGAAATCTAGCTGAACAAAAGTCTGTATAAAAATATACAGAAGAAACCACATTGAGACTGGTAGAAGAGGTAGATACAGAGGGATCTAGTCCCACACACGTGTTTTAAAAATCAGGAGGATATTTTGGCTGTGGAGATCCCCCTGAGGAGTGAGGGTTCCCAGCCCCAAACCAGGCCCCCAAACCCAGGGTTCCAGTACCAGAAGACAAGTCCCCATAACTTCTGGCTGTGAAAACCAGCAGGGATTGTAGTTGAGACAGAGCGCTGCTGGAGTCCCTGGTGTTCCTCTTAAAGGGCTCCACTGCAAAAACTTTCTCAGATTCACTTGCTCTGAGCTCCAGCACTGGGACAGCAGCTCAAAAGGCACCAGGGACATACAGGGAGGAACTGAATTGTCTGGATATGGGGGGAAGACTGGAAGAGTGGCTTTTACCCAGACTTAAGTGCTGGCAAAAACCATTGTTCCTTTTCTGAGTCCCCTCCCCCGACCCCGCCACCTGGCACAGGGCCCACAGGCAAGCACCATATCTGAGTCTGATTAACTGTTCACCCACCCTGGTAAGTCCCTGAGACAGTGCCCTACCCACCTTGTGGGCCCATCCAAGCAACTTCCAGTAGCTTTTCCATACAAGTAGCCTGTCTTGGCTCCTGCTGAGAACTTTCCTAAAATCTCTCAAAAGTTCACAAACCCTACCTCAACCAGCAGGATCTGGCCTCGGCATGCCTCATACCTCCTGCTAATGGTCCCAGGCCTGGCAAGAGCAACAGCTGGCCCCTGTTCACAGCATGGGCTCTCCCCATCACCTCCAAGCCCAGCACAGGTAGCAGTCTTCTGCAGATCGCTCTGTAGCTCATGCTGGGTGGCCCTGGGCAGGATATGGGTGGCAGCTGACTTTGGTCAGCACCTCCCAGAGGACTCCAGAGCTAGCGCACCAGGTGGACAGTGTCAGACAATGCCAGAACACCACCCAACCACCTCTATCAGCAGCACACTCAAGGTGAGAACTAATCAGGCACCAGAGCCCCACTGAAGCAAGTCCGGCTCCGTGGGGTTGGCCCTTGCATAAGAGCTTTTCCACTGTAGTCATGGCCAGTTGTAGCCAACTGGCCTTGAGGTAAATACCTCCCACTGATGTGCCAACAACAATCAAAACTCAACTACAACAGGAGGGGTCACATAGCCAAGACACGGCACACCTGAAGTACCCAGCTAAAATGACCAGGGAGGCTGTGTCACTAGGCCCTACAGGACACCTACTACATTAGACCACTCTACCAAGACGGGGACATGTAACAGCTCTACCTACTACATAGAAGCCAGCACAGGGAGGCAGCCAAAATGAGGAGATAAAAAAACATGTCTCAAATGAAACAATAGCACAATATCCCAGAAAAAGAACTAAACAAATGGAGACAAGCAATACCAGGTGCAGAGTTCAAAACACTGGTTGAAGGATACTCAATGAACCTAGGGGAAGAGCAGATGAATTAAATGAACTTTAATAAGGAGAGGAAATATAAAAATCGAAATAGCAAACATAAAGAAGAACCCAATGAAAGATACACAAACTGAAATGAAGTTACTGGGAATCAACAACGGGAAAGATGAAGCAGAGTAGCAAACCAGCAACTGGAAGATAAAGTAGCAAAAAACACCCAATCAAAACAGCAAAAAGAAAAAGAATCCAAAAAATTGTGGACAGTTTAAGGAGCTTCTGGGACAACATCAAGCGTACCAACATTCACATTATGGGGGTGCCTCCCAGAAGAAGAGAGAGAGCCAAGAATTGAAATCCTATTTGAAAAAATAGTAACAAAAAACTTTCCTAACCTGGTGAAGAAAATAGACATAGAAGTCCAGGAAATACAGAGTCCCAAACAAGATGAACTCAAAGAAGTCTACACCAAGACACATCATAATTAAAATGCCAAAGGTTAAAGACAAAGAGAGAATCTTAAAAACAGCAAGAAGGAACCCATTAGTTAGCTACAAGAGAGCTCCCATAAGACTGTCAGCTGATTTCTCAATAGAAACTTTGCAGGCAGGAAGTAGTGGCTCAAAATATTCAAAGAGATAAAGCAAGGACCTACAACCAACATTACTCTACCTAGGAAAGCTATCATTTAGAATGGAAGGATAAAGAGATTCCCGGACTAGAAAAAGCTAGTTCATCACCATCAAAACAGAATAAAAAGAGATAAAAAATATGAATAATAAAATGGCAATAAATACACTCAAACCTCATTTCTTGAACATCTCCCATCTTCAAACAATTTGGGTTTCGACCAAGTTATTCACAGCAAAAATGTTCCAATTGTTAAGTTTTGGTTTTCTACCTGACAACCCTTTCATGCTGATACCTCAGCATGACAAAAGGAATCTTTCAGGCAGCAAACAAAGAAGAGAATGCTTTTGTTGCTGGAGAAAACAAGGATTAGCACAATTTTAAAACAGGAAGAGGCCATCTAGAGTGCTAATGTTGATAAGTGTGAAAGCAACAACGATCACAGACAATTAAAGAGGCAGAAAAACTGTTGTTGGTTTGGACAGATGAAAAGCAGTTAGCCAGTGACAGCCATTTCTTGGAAGCAGTAATATACAGACAAGCAAAGATACTGTATGCAGACCTGAAAGACATCTCTAGACCAAATGCTAAAAGTGATTTGTTTAAGGCTAACAGGGAGTGTTTTGATAAATTTAAGAAAAGAAGTGTTTATTTAAGATTAAACAGTACATTAGACATGTACTATATATAAGAAAGGCTAAAGAAGAAAATCATTTGGGGGGTCTGAAACAGATTAATTCAATTTACATTATTTCTAATGGGGAAAAAATGATTTGATTTTCGAATAAATCGCTCCTTGAACAACCTTCCGGAATGAATTAAGTTCAAGAACCTAGATTCCATATCTATTAACAATTAATTTTAAAAATGCAAATGGACTAAATGCTCCAATCAAAAGACAAACGGGACTCACTTCACATCAAAAGACACATATAGACTAAAAGTATAGGGATGGGAAAAATTATGTTATAAAAATAAAAACAGCCGAAACGGTTTGGCTCAGTGGATAGAGCGTCGGCCTGCGGACTGAAAGGTCCCAGGTTCGATTCCGGTCAAGGGCATGTACCTGGGTTGCGGGCACATCCCCAGTAGGAGATGTGTAGGAGGCAGCTGATCGATGTTTCTCTCTCATCGATGTTTCTAACTCTCTATCTCTCTCCCTTCCTCCCTGTAAAAAATCAATAAAATATATTAAAAAATAAATAAATAAATAAAAACAAAAGAGCTGGGATAGCAATCCTTATAACAGACAAAACAGAATTTGAAACAAAGGCTATAACCAGAGACAAAGAAGTACCCAGCAATTCCACTTACGGGTACTTATCCAAAAGAAACCAAAAACACTAAAATGAAAAAATATATGCATCCGTATGTTCCTTACAGAATTATCTACAATAACCAAGATATGAAAGTCAACTAAGAGTCCATCAAAAGATGAACAGATGAAGTAAAAGTGGTGCATGCATACAATGGAGTATGAGTCAAACTGAAAAAAAGAATGAAATCTTGCCATCTGCAACAGCATGGATGGACCTGCAGATATTGTGTTGAGTGAAATAAGCCAGACAGAGAAGGACAAATGCTGTATGATTTCACTTATATGTGGAATCTAAAGAACAAAATAAATGAACCTGAACAGAAACAGATTCATAGATACAGAGAACACTTTCACAGTTGCCAGATGGGAGGGAATTGGGGAGATGGGGGACAAAGGTGAAGGGATTAAATACAAATTGGTAGTGACAGAACAGTCATGGAAATGTAAAGTACAGCGTAGAAAATATAGTTAATAATATTGTAATAACTATGTATGGTGTCAGATGGTACTAGATTTATCAGGGTGATCATTTGTAAGTTATATAACTGTCTAATCACTGGGTTGTACACCTGAAACTAACATAATATTGTAACACAAAATATAATTGAAAAATTTTAAATTACTTTTAAAAAAAGATCTGATGGGTTAAAACTACATATATACCATATCCATATAATAAAATATCAGGCAACTGCTAAAAAAGTGGAAGGTGTAACACTAAACAGTGACATGAAAAAGTGACCAAGATTTATTATTAAGTGAAATTAATTCAGTTATAGAGTATTTTTTTCACTCATTAGATATTTGAATATCCACTCTGTGTGCCAGGTATTATTCCAGTTAAAAAAGTATGCATCACAGAGTCCATTTGTATGGAAGAAGAAAAACAAATACCATGATGAGACTATGTTCTGCTCTGGCAAGGTTTTTGCTTTTATTTTTATGAATACAGAACTATGTTACAGAGAAAGAGATATGAGCCTGGATGCTTAGTTCCTAATTGTTCAGTCTATTATTATTTATTGAGAAACTAAAAGCCAAGCACTGTGCTAGGTACTGATATTAAGAAGCAATGAAATATACCCACCCCCAAACCAAATAACTTTAATTTCCATATTTAGAAAGCATAAAATGCCATATATTGTGAAATGCATCATTTAAGAGATATTTCAATGGAGGGGAAAGCATCTTAAAATCAATGAAATATTGTAGTAAAACAAGAAGCATACTTACTAAACTTCTACAAATATCAGCAATATCATTCATTAGCTTTGATGTTAACAATCGTAGGAAAAAGCTCGATGCAATCTTATTTGGACTGTGCTGTAATGAAGTCGAACAAGAAAACCAAGCAAACAAAGAAATAAAAACAATTATTCTTGACAAATAATATTTTCTCTATCTTGACTGAAATGTAAATTTTCCCTTACACTGAAAATTCTCTAACATAAAAAGCACAGATAAAGAGTTTGCTATTGGGGAGAAGTTATAAATTACTTCAAAAAATACTATTATCTGTCCTTAGACAATAATAACTACATATCTTTCACTGTGCATAAACAACATTAAAGTAAAATACCAGCTAATGACCCTAAACATAAGCAAGCAATAATTGTAGCTTACATTTTATTCTTCCTTTTCTCTCCTTCCCCACTTACAGCAAAACATACAATACCACATTACAAAACCAAAAATACATGCTGATAATATTGATACATGGTCATGTACTTAACATCAGCTTTCAAAATGTTTCCAATTACTTTTAACAATTTGAACTGGCTCAGCTACCCCCTCAGACCCGCTCCAAAACAAAACAAAGACTATACACAGTAGCACTCTTCCCACCAAACATTATACAGGACTATATGGGCAAAAAGAGAGTAACATATGTGCTGGACTTATTTATCTTTGTGGTGCTCACTATCCCTGGTATAGTGGTATGCACATCAAACAGCTAGCAGTCAACACATTTTTATTAAATGAACTAGAGGCCCAGTGCACGAAAATTCGTGCACTCGGGGGTGGGGGGGTCCCTCAGCAGGGCTTGTAGCAGTCAACACATTTTTATTAAATGAACTAGAGGCCCAGTGCACGAAAATTCGTGCACTCAGGGGTGGGGGGTCCCTCAGCCGGGCTTGTGCCCTCTCGCAGTCAGGGACCCCTTGGAGGATGTCCACCTGCCGGCTTAGGCCCGCTCCCCGGGAATCGGGCCTAAACTGGCCGTCAGACATTCCTCTGGCAGCCAGGAGCCCTTGGGGGATGTCTGACTGACAGACAGACTAAGCCGCAGTTGGACATCCTTAATGCTGCCAAGGAGGCAAGAGAGGCTCCCACCACTGCCGCTGTGCTCGCAACCATAAGCCCGGCTTGTGACTGAGCGAATCTCCCCCTGTGGGAGCACACTGACCACCAGGGGGTAGCTCCTGCATTGAGCATCTGCCCCCTGGTGATCAGTGCGCGTCATAGCAACCAGTCATTCCCGGTCATTCTGCCATTAGGGTCAATTTGCATATTACCCTTTTATTATATAGGATGAAAATATGCTGACAGCAAGAGTCATGTATGTAGTATATAACAGTGGTAAAATAATCTCTGAAACCTTCCTGAAATGATAAAATTAGTTTCATGAGAAATTCTGATTATCTGTTGCTTTATTCCTCTGGATACTACCTTTTATTTTCCATTCAATTTAATTTTATATCAGTGTGTAAACTTACAAATGGACCAAAAACCAAAAAATAATAACAACACCAACCAGTTATCAATCCCCTAGGAAGGCTATACTGTCAAGCAGGAAGAACATCTTACCTTGTTACAGTTACATAAGCAACTTGTACATAGATGCATCATATTTCTCAATGAAACAATTCTAGACTCCTCATTTGTCTTATTTTTAAACAGAGTAACACTTTCTCCAGCACACTGCATTAGAGACTATTAAAAATAAAGAAGGAAAAATTCAAATTTCAGTTAAAATTAGAGTTTAATAACTGCTTTTAAAAGTTTTACTTAAAGGTAAAATTAAGTATTTAAGAAGTTATACTTGATTTATAGCATAATTAAAAATTACTAACAATTTTTAAAGGACATATATTATCCCATTCGTACAAATCACACAACTGACAGTAGTACCCAGAGATGAAAATAAGTTTCATGCTGAGTGCCTACTTGATTAATACTCTTAGTCAAGGATTCTTTAGGATAACTGATCACAGGAAAAACTTTTTAAAGTAAGATAAAAATAAGAATTTTTGTTAAGATTAAATTTTAATGTAATATTATTTCAATTACTGTATTTATTTTTGGCTTAAAATAATTTCACATCTCAAGGAAGAACACACAGTATCATTTCTTCTCAGGCTACATAAATACAAGGGAAATGGTTAACCTACATAAATATTTGTGCTTTCTAAACATGTATACTAATTTTCCCAGGGATATATTTCATTCAATTAATCCAGAACTTACATAAATTCTCATACCTTGGCTTTCTGGAATAATTCTGATTTATATGCTTCCTCTTCAGTTATTACACCAATATGACAATAGCAACCAAGAACACCCATCAAAAGACTTGAACACCGGACAAGCATTTCTGTATTTGAAGTCTTAAAAGTAAAACACAAATAAAAAACATATAGTTTATAAGTAATCTGAGTACACTATGATTATCTATATATATAAAAGCCAAGCGACCGGAACGACGGAACAACTGAACGACCAGTTGCTATGATGTGCATCTGATTGGGACCCCAATCGGCTCCCCAAAACCGCCCGTGGCCCCTCCCCCTGCTGACCTGGCCCCCAATCGGCCCCCACCACCCCAATCGGGGGTGGGGCCAGCTGGCCAACCTCCTGCATCCCCTCCCCTCCACCAGCCCGGCCCCGATCGGTCCTGTGCACAAATTCATGCACCGAGCCTCTATTCTCTTATAAGAAAAAATTTATGTACATAATAAGAAACATTAAATACAGTAAATTGAGTTAATAGTGGCATAATTCTGGTTATCTCTAAAAAACATCTAAGAGATCCTTGAAGAATTGTGATAACCAGGATTCTCAAGAAAACAGCGGAAGTATGTAATCATGGCCAAGTAAGACATCTCCTCTTAAAGTAGCCCAGTGTTCTGCACACAAAGGCCCTTAAGTATTTGAAGGAGGAAGAAAAAAAAAAAACCTGATAGGTAAATAAGTGTCTGTAACTCTTAGAACAGACACAGAAATTAGATTCATATAAATAAATATTAAAATGACCTTGTGAGCTTCTAAAGGACATGAACCTTAACTTATTCAGCTTTTTAGATTCCATAGACTAACACAAATATTTTTTGCAAGTAGGTACTGTTTAGCCAATTTTATAAAATTATTAATGATTTTGCCAAGGTTACACAGAAAAACTAGATTTTTGTTGTTGTTGTTGTTCCTATATTGTAGGAAATGGCATTTTAGGGGAAAACACTGAACACCATGTTACTCTGTAATGAAAGTGGTTACAACTGTGATCCTGAAGAATGTCAGTTACTAAGGTTAAGGCAGATGAAACAGGCACAGTGTCCCTTCTCTGGTTCTTTAGCTCACTATTCCTGGCTAATGAATTCACTCCTTTGAGTAGCTTATAGTTTTTATTTTATTCAACAAATACTTTATCATCTACCATGTAACAAGGCTTGTGGCAGATACAAAAATCAATAAAAATACATATATGCCCTTTAAGGAACTTCTAGCATAGCTTAAGAGGTATTTGTGTATAAAATATAAACACAAATTATGGTACAAGGAAGATGCTAAGTATCCTTTCAAAATAGAAATATTAAGTATTATGAAAATCAAAAGATGAATTATTATGGCTGAGATTATCTAAGAAAGGCTTTAGCAAGGATTGTGACATTCAGTTTCAATTATATGCTTTGGTGTTATAACAGTTCCCTCAACAAAACTGAGTCACTTTTTCATCAAATTGCTCTACTCAAAACCATTACTATTATTAACCATAAACCCACCCAAAGAATTCTACTTCTATGGTGTTTACCAGAGTTCTTGGTACAAAGAGTATCAAATTATTATTCTTTGATTTTCCTTTTTTCATGCTGTTTTCACTATTAGCTGACATGTATTGTCACTTTGCTTTTAAAAGGAAGCTTCTCACCATTCTTAGTGCCTTTCCTACCTATTTCTCCTTAACCAGTCTACAAAGGGGAATGAAATATGGGCCTTCGTTATTTTTAAAAATCTCACCTCAGATGAATAGTTATTTAGAAGCTGTTTTGACAATCCCAGAAGATAGCGATCCAGTGATTCCTTGAGATTTGGATGGACAGAAAAGCCTCTACTAGATTGGTGCTTTTCTATTGCACATTTTTCCACAACAGCTAAAAAATCCATCTTGTCAAAAGTTGTCTGAAGAAATAGTTCTTCAACTGCTGAGAATGAAGGCTCTTCTTTCTCATTTTGGTGCTGATCACTTAAAGAAAGTAAGATCTTTTATTTATAATTAAACTACCTAATATTTCATCTTCATATAACAGCAATATAATACAAATGAAAATATTAACTTATTCAAAGACTGTTTATACAAGTATTAAATTATTCTTTTAAATGCTCCTCTTTGGACTTTGATACCTACTTGAACCAAATTTCATTATTCAAGCAGCAAATTTTACTAACAGATGCACAAAACAAATACAAATTTCAATCTCAAAGAAAATTCAGAAAGTATTAAAAAGGAAACACTAACACCAGATATAAATATGAAAATAACATTATAAAGCATTTCCTTTTTTTAACCTTTGATTTCTCCAAAATGTAGATTTTTTTTTCATCTTAGCCCTCTTGAGGGAGATTAAAAATCTTCATGCCAGTCATAGTGGAAAAAAAAAAAAACAACAACCCTTGAGTCCATGAACTAAAATGAGGCTTTAAAATTTATTTTTGTTTTCACTTTCTTCAAATATCATTGCCGTTTTTTATCATTCATTTTTGAAGGTCACATAGTCAGATTTTTATTTTTATTTTATTTTTTTATTTTGTTTAGATTTTTATTTTAATTGATTTTTAGGGAGAGGGACAGAGAGAAATATTGATGTGAGAACAAAACATTAATCAGCCACCTCCTGCCAGGGATTGAACTCACAACCTAGGTATGTGCCCCAACTGGAATCAAACCAGCAACCCCTTGGTGCATTGGACAATGCCCAACCAACTGAGCTTATATATTATAAGAAACATTTCCCTAGCTAACAGTTGTGATTTTTCAGTTGACCAATTTAGTTCAACATTTCTAAGATGTAATTAAAGATATAACTTAAAAAAACACAGAACTCTATTAGATAACATACCATCCCGGCACACTCTGGAAAAAATTCATTGCAGCTTTACAGTTTTTCATAGTGAGACTCACAAGAATTTTCTCCAGTGCAAGATGAGGAAAATTACTATAAAGGAAAATAAAAATCTTCACTTAGAACACCAAAGCCATTTAAAGTATTCTTTAAACTTAAACATCAATGTCTGACTTTAGTATATACCTCTAAAATTTGGATGCAAAATTAAAATTGCTTTCACCTATACTGAATGTCTTAACATCTGAAAGAATTTAAGGAGCATACATTGTATGTTACTATTATTTTTAACACTTTCTAGAAGCAAAATCATGTGCAAATTTGTAAAGCTCATTTCTGAAATAAAACAATTATGAAATTAAAGTACTAGGATCCAGAGGTCTGTCCTCCAATCATTCAGTTCCAATTATTGACTATGGAAAGGTTATGTGGGCAAGCTACTTACGCCCTATTTTGCCTTTTTCTCATTTCATCCATCTGCTAATTTAACATATTTCACCCAGAAGATACTCTCATTATGATTCCAGGATACACCTGAGTTGGATATATGTTCAGGTGGATCTATTTACAGAAGATCACAAAAGAACACATAAGTGCTCAAAGAGTTATATGCACATTCTTTGTGCACAACCCTCTTATTCTCACTGTGTGGACAGAGTGACAAAAATAAAGTAAACGTACATGGACTAAGATCCAGGCAAAAAGAAAGTAAACTGTAACAACAAAGGGACTGTTTAATATTTGGGCTAGCTCTGGGAAATCCTGCATTATCACTATAAAATAAAGCCATCTAGCATCAAATAGTAATGGATGGAGCCTGACTAAACAAAACCAAAAAACAACAGCACACCAATGAACTCAAACTACCTGTGAAGAATTGGGGGCAGCTCTGTACTGTTTTCAAAGTCATCTTCTAACTGATAGAATAAGAGCCATTTCATGATCAATTCCTTTAAAGAAAAACTTCTGTTTACTTCGCATATATTCTGCTCCATTCCCATTTTTACTGTTTCTGGAACTACACAGGTGGTCAGTGCCAAAGTCAAACAGGATATCACAGGACTATAACAAAACAAAGAATGATTAGTGTTATAAGTAACCTCTTTAAGAATATAGTACTACTAAAATGATAAGGTTTATGAATATTGAGCAAACAAGTGGTAAGTTGTCAAATTACCCATAAAAAATTTAAAACATTTAATTCTTTAAAACTGACTGCAGTAATCTCTCCACATTTAAAACTAAATTTACATTTATTTATTAAGACTTCCTGGACAAACATTAAAAGCATCTGAAATAGAATTTAACAATCTTTAACTGAAATTCCAAATTCCAAAAATCAGGGGATAGATGAATATACAGCACATTCCAAAAAATGTACACACACTTTGAATAATTATTAATTCCAATGGGTTAAATTTGAAAAGAAAGAAACCCTAGCTGGGCTATCAGCTGTTAAAGTGTGGATACATTTTTTTGGGACACCTTGTATACAGAGGTTGTCAAAAGTAGGTTTACAGTTGTCTGTATGGAAATCATACAAATAAATAATACAACTAATCTATATATATAAAAGCTTAAGCATCCGACCAACCGGTAGCTATGATGTGCACTGCCACCAGGGGGCAGACGCTCAACACAGGAGCTGTCGAGCTACCGTGACTTGGCAGCTGCAGTTCTCAGGTGATGAGCCTGTTTCCGGGGTGTGTCACCCAAGAACCTCCCTCTCGCAATCCAGGACCCCTCGGGGGATGTCAGAGAGCTGGTTTCGGCCTGATCCCCGCAGGCCAGGCGGAGGGACCCCACCAGTGCATGAATCCGTGCACTGGGCCTCTACAAAAATAAACTCTGTGTTTGCGTACTTGCAAAGATAAATCTACTGCTACTTTTGCCCACCCCTGTGTGTGTGTATATATATAAATAAAATATGTAAATATGAAAATTGCAAAATCTAATACAATGCATAGTCAACTTACCATGAAGGTCTGCAGGCTGACCCAGTAAATAACTTCCAGAATTCTCTGTCAATCTCAACTAAGCTCCCTTGAATTATGGCTCCAAGTAAGCCAAAATTTTCAGCTTGTATTTGCTCAAAACTTATATTGCGAAAGGTAATAGACCAAATTTTAATCCAGAGTTTCAATAACTCTGACTTTTGTGAGCTTTCTAGGTTTGATTTCTTGCCTTGACACAATGCAATTTCCATAAGGCATCGTAACACATATGGTGTGCGTTCCCCACGTCGCTGTTGAGGTAGAAGCTGACATAGTATCATCAATAATGGTGATAGCTCACAGTTAGGTAAACATGCAGGATATTTTGATATTAGCTGAATTACAATCTGTAACCTGAAAAAAATTATAATTAATTTGAAAATTACTCAATTCTACTAACAAGCTAAAAAATCAATATATAGCTATAGTACCATTTGTAATACCCTAATTAGAATATCACCATCATTATTTTCCGTACTGCTCTCATAATACACTGGCTCTTAATTTTTATTAGGCCCTACTTCCTAAAGTGTCAAGAAGTTACAGCTTTTTGTCTAGCTGGGTAAGCTATATTTCCCTTACACAAAAACTTTAAAGAAAAACTAAATTAGCAATATTATATTCCTGCGTTATTGCACCCATCCCTGTTCTTCAGCCACCGATAATATTCCTTCAAACCAGAAAAACAAACAAAACCTCAAAAAACGGTTTTTCCTTGACATTAATTCAGTTAATTCAATAAATATTTGCTGTGAGTTCTCCAAAATGGGTGCTACTCAGGAATAGAAACTTTATCTTATTCACTTCTGCATCGCTAATGTTTGGCACATAGCAGCTGTTCAATAAATAACTCTTTACTGAATGGGCAAATTAACTAATTGAACTAGGTACCCTCAACTATATAAAACAAACATGAGCTTAAACAAGAGGTATCTAAATAAATACGCTTTCCCCCGCACAACTCAATTATATTTAAACATTACATCAACATAGTAAATATCAAAAGAACACTAATCTTCAAATTTCCAACAGTCCCTAGGCAGGCTGCTTAACCTTTCTGTTTCACTTATTTCTTTAGTACAGCAAACAGGCTGAACTGGATGAATTCTGAAGATTTCTACCAGACCAACTTTTTTTTTTCCCACAGAATTCCAATGATTATTTAATTATTTAAATAATTGTGAGTACTATTTGAGACAAGGAAAAAAACAGCCTTTTGTCATGGCATAAGGTCCAAATATGTGTGATTTCTGGATGTTATCCTTAATTTCTTTTTTTGTTTTGTTTTGTTAATCCTCACCTGAGGATATTTTTCCATTGATGTTTAGGGAGAGTGGAAGAGAGAGGGAAAGACAGAGAGAAACACATCACATCGACTGTATAGGGCCCAGGCCGGGGAGGAGCCTGCAACCAACATACGTGTCTGACTGGAATCCAATCTGGGACCCTTCAGTACGCACACCGACACTCCATCCACTAAGCCCGACCAGCTAAGGCATCCTGAATTTCTTCCTAATATAATTCTACAAAAAGGTGCTATGCATGTTAACTCTCTTTATACTGAGGTGTACAACTGAATGAATTCCATGAGTCACACTAGTGATTGCCTAGTAGGCATCCATTCTCGCTTATTCCTTGCTATGGCAATATGCTTAAGAAAAGTGGCCCTGTCCCTACAACAGCAGATGAGCCATGGTGGTTGATCTCAACAAGTCCTGGCTAGCATTTTCCCTTTGTCAGTGAATGGTTTGGGAGCAAATGACCTCATTCTGGCCAAGGAAATTATCCTACTGGCTAATGAGATTAAAGGAGGTCTTTGTGAGAAAAACTAAATGAGACTAAAAGGACACTGAAAGAGGGGGAAAAAAGTTATATTTTACCAAGGCACAAGTTCAAAATCATTCTGTGACTTCTGGAGATGATCTTTTATTACATCCCAGCCTAATTCTATTTTCCTCTTTTTGCAAGGTACACCATATTCTCTTTGTGTGGTAGTATAAGACTGGGAAATCTCCAAAGATCTGGTATCTTCATTAAAAACCTGTAAAATAAAAAAATAAAGATTTATTTTTTACGAACTATTAGAAAACAACATCACTCCTCAAATGAAGATACAAGAAGTCATAAAGTAACAAACAATTTTGCATGACTGCAATGGCTCTCTAGAGAGCAAATATTACCAAAAAGAGTATAAGCTTTATTTCCGGTAATATTTACTAAAAAAACACCAAGATATCTAAAAGCAAAGCAAAAACCTCTTTTTTCAAAGGAATTAAATCATAAATTTAGCATTAAGAAAATATTGACAAGTAAAATGATCTAGGATGTTAACCAAATCTTGAGGGAAAAAGTTTTACTTCAGAAACATTAAGCTATCGAATGATGAATGAGTAACAAAATGTAAAACATCCACACAATTGAATATTACTCAGCAATTTTTAAAAATGAAATACTGATTCAAGGTAAAATATGAATAAAACTTGAAAACATTATCCTAAGTGAAAGAAGCCAGTCACAAAAGACCACTTATGTATGATTGTACTTACATGAAATGTTCAAATTAGGAAAAACAGATAGACAAAGTAGGTTAGTGGCAGGTTGCTAGGGACTGGAAGAAGTGGGGAATTAGGACTGACACTAATAGGTGAAAAGTTTGGGGAAATGTTCTGTAATTAAATAGAGGTGATGGGTATAAAGCACAGTGAAAATACTTAAAAATACTAAATTGTACACTTTAAAATAACACATTTTGTGCTGTGATTTCTAACTCAGTAAAACCAAAAAACAGAACAACAACAACAAAGAAACATTAGGGTTAGGGTAATCTTATTTCCTATAGATAATATATTAAGAATGAAAAAGTTCATCATCACTTTTCACTAAATTTATAATATACAGAACAGTTACCTTTTAAGTCAGAAGGCAATTCTAAATATTTATGGTGCTTTGAAAAGAGTAGTTAGTTACATGTATGTACAAAGCAATTTTGCAGGCTTTTTATCAGAACACAGATTTTAAAAGCCCAGTAAAAAAATTAACAAGAAATGTTAAAATGTGACAAGATCTACTGTACCTGGTGACAAACATCTGCCATCAAGTCAATCAAGTTTTCTTTGACAGCAATGTTACGAGATCCTGAGGAATATTTCCCTCTGCTCCCTATATGACTTATCTCATTAACTAGCAGATCATATAAGTTGTATAAGATACTTTTCCATTTTCTTGATTCATAAGCACCTGTAATTCAAAAAATTATATATTCCATTTGTACCACCAATTCCCACAAAATTATTCATCTGTTAAGGTGAAAACAACATTAGAAGACATATGGTCCAACCTTCTATTCAGTACTAATGCCTCCTCTGACAATATCTTTGACAAGATCTACTTCATATCAGTGTCCATTTCACAGTTAATTGTATTTGTTATAAAATTCTTCCATATTTTGATCTAAACTTTCTCTAATCAACTCAATCAAAATCTCAATCAAGCTTTCTCTAATTTCTTCTCTCCCCTGAAGCAAATACAGTGGATGTTTCCCTCTTTTGTATGAGGACCAAGTTATCTGTATGTCTAAGAAAGAAACATCCTTCAACTAGTGTACAAATAATATGTTATCCACAATTCTCCTTATCCCAGTCCTCTTTCCCTAGATACACTCCAGTCTACTTATTACTCAGCAATTTAAAATGCTGACTTTACAAAATCTGATGAACATAATACTTCCACTGTGATCTGACCAGTATGGGGGGACAATGGGCTATTACTTCCCACAAACAAAACAGAAAACACGAAATCTACTTACTTAGCCTTACACTACAGTAGCATTTCTGGCAGCCTCCTCATCCTGCCAATTTTTGATTCATCCTAATATGCAGTTAACTAAAACCCTAAACATGTCATACCATCTTCTAATAAAACTGATTTTCATCTTGGTGAGAGCTATGTGAAAAATGATAAACTAAGAAAAATTACCATTCTTTGACTCACAGTGGTTACATGGGTTAAAAATATATCTAACCATACATACTAGAACTCATGTAATACACACAGCTACCTTTGATTTTAAAAAGTGGCTACAGCAGTTCTCCCTCATTTTAGGGACTATTACTCAATGCAGAATGGTATCTTAATAAGGTCATTAAACTAGTCAGGATGAATTGGTCCAAAGGCTAGTACAAGCCCAAAGGCAAACTCAGGCTGAGCATGAGAAAACTCATTCTGTTCCAGGTCCACCCAATAAAGTTCCTGTCTACTGAATGGAGCTACACCATCCAAGCAATACTCTCTTGATGAAAGACAAATGTGAAGGACTAAGAGTGCATGGGTCATTCATTTCTGGTTTCCCAGTAAACAGGGGCCTGGAGTAACTATGAGGTTTAAGGCTATATGTATAAATCTTCCTTGGGCCCTGACTAACCTGATTGGCTATTTTCAGCCCTTATTTATCTATTTTATCTTCTAATAAAAGCAATGTGTGGGTAAATAAGACCATGCCTTCTCTAAATTCTTTTACACTTAGTCTATGTCATCCCTCTCAGCAACTAATTATTGCTGCATAATTAACTCCTAGAGGGAATAGTAGCTCATATTTGTTTGTATTCCTCATAATATCTAGCATTATACTAATCAAAAGGGTAAGGCAAAATATGATTTTCTACCACAGCTCCAAATTCTAAAAACATGTGTGTGAAAAATATCATCATGACTAATATCATCAGTAAGCACAGCAATCCAAAAGTAGGTCATTACCTCCTCCCAAATACGGATTTCATGCTTAAGCCTCTATGTTTCAATGAAGAAGCAAATTCAAAACAGCAAAAACTTCCTTTATACCTTTTTCTTGGGTTTTGGCTCCCTTTGGATGATGAATATAAATTTGCAGTTGAAATAATTCAATAATTACTTCTTTTAAGGAATCATTAAGTCTATGTTGAGTCCAAATATAAACAAAGTTAGGAAGAATTTCATCTCCTAACTCACACACTTTAATTCGAAAGTTAACAGCCAAAGCCTTGAGGAAGATAACAAATGCTGCTAAGATATGATTTAAACCTGCAGAGGTCTTTTCTTGTCTGTGAAAGAAAATAAACACACTCAACTTGGTTTAACAGGGAGAAAAACACACAAACTAAAGACAGTTATGAAGTTGCATGCTGAAATAAAACAGTATCTAATTTTCAAATAATAGTTTCAGAACTATTCTCACACACACACACACACACACACACACACACACACACACACACACACACACACACAAATAACAGCAGCACTACATAGCAACAGCAAAAAAGTTCTTCTTTGGTGCTAAGTATCACTCCTGTTAGCTCTTTCTGCTTCTGGAACATTGTCTAAAATTACACAAAACTGATTTGTAATAATAAGTGGGTAAAACAACACAAATATAAGATATTGATATTTCCAAATATACTATTTTATTTTATTCTTATTCTCAAAAATGGGAAAAACAAAACTACTTAGAGGGCATTTAGCTTTCCTGCCATTAGAAAAGCAAGAAAGAGGTCTCACTTAGGAACATCATTTCATGGTCTGTACGCAGGATATTCAGGAAGTGTTGGACCTAACTAGTACTTCCTTTGGGAATACACTAGTCCTACTATAATGAGCCGTTTTAAAAGTTGGTAGAATTTTTAGTTACTGAGTCAAAAACATGCTTTTCAAGATCAAATGGATTTTCAATAAAATACAAAAAGATTAAATTACCTTGCATTCTGAATAGCCTTAGAAAAACAATCCAAAAATTTGGAATTTAATCCATCAGTTTGTGAACAGCATCCTTTAGTCACAGCATGAATGATTCTAGCCAGTAAGACTCTGTCTTGTGAAGGATTGAGATATAGCTTGAAGTACACAGAAAACAATTCTTTAAAAAAAAAAGTATTAGTTATGCTTTTTAAAAACTATCAAATCATTTAACTTAAATGTCACAATTTAAGTTTCAATAATTCCACACAAAAATATTTAAATAATATTATTTAAATACAGTGAAAACATTCCATTAATATTTAATTGTATCCTATCTAATAATAGACAAACATGGTAATTAACCATACCTTCGCTACACCTCCCATTTGCTAATCATCACAATATGCAAATTAACCGCCAACAAAGATGGCGGCTAATTTGCATACTATAGGCAGGGCTGGTCAGCGCCATCCCACTTGCCCCACCGCCATCCGGGCCTGCTATTTGCCACCCAGGGCGGTGGGGCCGAACAGCACCATCCTGCCTGCCCTGCCGCCATCCGAGTCAGCTGTCTGCGACCCGGGGTGGCGGGGCGGGACAGCGTGGCTCCTCTGTCACCCCAGCTTCCTCATCACAGCTCCCTTGGGGGCCTAAGCCTTTAGTTGGACATCCCCCGAGGCTCCCTGGCTGCCAGAAGGATGTCTGACTGCAAGCTTAGGCCTGATCCCCCGGGGAGTGGGCCTAAGTTGACAGGTGGACATCCCCCAAGGGGTCCTGGACTGCAAATGGGCACAGGCCGGGCTGAGGGACCCCCCCAGTGCACAAATTTTTGTGCACCGGGCCTCTAGTTTTATATAAGTTGCGTTCAAGACAAGAACAACTTAAGCAGCAGAGAACAGAAACACGTTTGAGAGCCAGACTTCAGATAAGCAACTTAACTTCTCTAACCCTATGTTCCTTCATCTAGGCCTAACAAAGCACTTGACACAGTGCACATTCCAGATTTGTTTTGTTTTGTTTTAATGCCATTGGATTAATAGTAGACAATTTATTTCTCACAGAAATAACAGTAGGGTATGTTCATTTTTGCATAAGTTCCTCAATGTCAAAAGCAAAGTGAAGAGGAACAGGTGAAACAGGTATGAACACTGAGCTATGGAGAGAAACTCCAAACTTATAATAATTAAGGAAACTTGCCCTAGCTGGTTTGGCTCAGTGGCTAGAGTGTCTGCCTGCAGACTGAAGGGTCCCAGGTTCAATTCCAGTCAAGGGCACATGCCTGGGTTGCAGGCTCCATCCCCTGGGGGGAGGGGGGACGGGTGCAGAAGGCAGTCAATCAATGATTCTCTCTCATCATTGATGTTTCTGTCTCTCCCTCTCCCTTCCTCTCTGAAAACAATAAAAATATATTTAAAAAAAATAAAGTGTAACTCTTTAAAAAATAATAATATTATTAAGCAAACCTGTCCTTTGCTCTGCAGGAAGCCATTAATCATCTCTATCAACATCTCTTTCTCCCAAGGCTCACTATACAAACATATCTAAAAAACAACAGTCTAGAAAAAAAAGCAACTCTGCCAGGGCAGGGTTTGTTTGTTTTTCAAGTTTTAGATAGAAGCTCAGATCATTGACTTGAGATCTTTCCTTTTTTTAAAGGATTAATATTTTTGAGATATAACTGGCATATTATATTAATTTCAGGTGTACAATATGATTGGTGTATTCTGCACAATGATCACCACAGTAAGTCTAGTTAATATCCATCACCACCATAGTTACCAAATGTTTTCCTTGTGATGAGAACTTTTAAGATCTACTTTCTTAGAAACAATAAAATTGATAAACTACTGCAATATAAATCTAATAACAATATACAAATTCTATATACCGATAATAACACTGACATCCATAAATCAAAATAGACCTACATAAGTGAAGAAATATATCATGTTCATGGACTGGAAGAGTCTTCAATATTAAGATGTCTCTTCTTCCTAAAATGTTCAATACATTCCATGCAATCCCTATCAAAACCCCAGCAGGATTTTTTGTAGAAATAAAAAAGGTGATTCCAAAATTTATATGGAAATGTTGACTCAGTCCTAGGCCATCTTCTCATCTCACTCTTAAACTCTCTCCCTTGACAATCTCAGCATAACCATAGCTTCAACCACCACTACTGCCAAATATGTATTTTGAATGTAAACTTCACTTCTTGGGCATAGTCCTCCTTAGAGAAGCAAGTTTCAGAGAAGGGAGCTAATTAGGAAAATAATTCAACAAAAGGGCCAATTATTACAAGTGGTAGTAGCTTGCTTAAAAATAAAAAACGATTTCAGAGAATATGCCAAATGATGGAAGCATAGTAAAAGAAGGGTTGCCTTCTTTTTATCCCACTGAGAACTATGGTTACAAGTAACAATCTAAAATTCAAATCTGCAAATGTCCTAAATAGTTAGGGTGGACCACTTTGGTGAGAGACTTGTTGGAGCATGCTAGATATTACTGGCCTATTCTCCAAAGGCTGCCACAAGCTTTGTGGAAGGCTGTGTTTGTGATAAAACTAACCTTGTGTTCAGAACTACAGCAAAGGATCAGATGATGCCTTAGAAATAAATCCCACAGCTGAGCAGGCTTTTATTCATGTGGGAACAGAAGAGTGTCAGACAGGGCACTGATTAGGTCATGATTTTATGGTTCACATATATCTCATTTTGAAATGATAAACTGACAGTAAACAATAAAGACAAATGTCTTTTAATTTAGTTAGCACAATTTATCTTAAATACTTTTCAATGAAAATACTGAGTTTCTAAATTTTCAGAGGTGATTGTATTGGAAGACTTTGACATCTGGCTTAAAGTGATCTTGTTAGAGCCAAATTCCTTTTTCATTAAACCATTCAGACCCAGAAATGCTTCCACCTTTGAAATCAATAAACTCAAATGTTTCACTCTCTGACCACAGCTTCTTTCCTTTGTGGTCAGTTAGTACCTTTCACTTAACAAACGATCAACATACGAGGTTCCTTCCTGGTACCCATGACCCTTTTAGACCCAGAAATGTTCCATATTTGAAATTAATAAACTCAAATCTTTCAGTCTCTGACCATAACTTCCTTCCTCTGTGATCTCTCAGTACCTCTCACCTACAAATTGTCAACAACACTAGATTCCTCCCTGCACTCTACTAATCGTATAAGTCACACTGGGTCCTACATAACCTATGCTAACACTTTTGATTTCCATTACATTATCAGTGTCCTGCTAATTGCTTAACCCAATGGATACTTCTATGTCTTACCATTTCTACAACACTGAAATGTCACACTCCTTTCAACTTGAAACTCTTTTGCTTTCACTTTTATGATATACTCTGTTTCGGTTTTCTTTTTTCTACCTTAATCATGGTTGAGTTTAAGTGTCATTGATATGTGAACTCACTGCACCCAAATATATCATATTGCATTGTAATTTTGGTTTACTTGTTTTTTTTCTGCCACTGGTCTATCAAGTCCTTGAGGCTAGGAGATGGCATCTTTCAATTCTATAATTCCATTTCTGATAGCAGACACCTAATATATTGTCAGTGAAAATAATTTAGGAAGCACATAAGAAATGCAATCTTAGGGTCAAATTCTGTAATCATTTAATTTTATTAAAGTAATGTTAAACTGTGAGGTCATTTAGAGATACAGAAAGACTCTAACTACTCTTTTGGGGAAATATCATTTCACAAGGAAAAATTCATTAAGAACAAATTTCAAAACATACCTAGCCACTGTTGCTGAGATATTTCACACCAGTATTTTCTCACTGAAAGAATGTCCTTGAGCAGTATATTGCTACAATCGGCTCTATAAATGGCACCATTAGATGAATCTTTCACTGTTTCCATGATATAATTCAAGAGTTCTTGACATTTTAGCCTGGGTGCTCCTATTTGAAAAATAAAATAAACAAATAAATAAACACATATAAATCTTCAGAAAAAATAATTAAGAACACTTGGAATGGAAACTATATAAATATAAATAATTCCTTAAATTACTATTAATTAATCTCCTTCTCATAGAGCAGAAATTAGCAAACAATAGTCCATGAGCAAAATTCTGCAAGCCACCTGTTTTTGGAAATAAAATAGCAGAGTTGAGTAGTAGAGACAGAGATTATGTAGCCTAACAATCATTCATTCCATCTTTAATAATTTACTATTTCTGGCATTAGACCTGAAATGATCCAAAGTTCCTTGGTACTTTAAAAAAGTGAATTTATTAGAATAACAAGATTATAAGGAGAATATTCATTTTGAAAAGCAAAATTACTTCCAAGACCTATAACAGTATTTATGGAATATAAATATATAAGATTGTAATTTTTACAGTTTTATTTATGAGGTCCTGAATATTCAGCATTAACGGATATATTCTTTTTTTTTTTAATCCTCACACAAATATATGTTTTTCACTGATGAGAGAGACAGAGAGAAAGGGAGAGGGAGAGAGAGGTAGAGAGAGAGGAAGAGAGGAGAGAGGGAAACAGCAATCTGTTGCCTACCACATGCACCTGCACGTGCCTGGACAGATCAAAGCACAACCTAGGTATGTGCCCGTACCAGGACTCGAACCACAACCAGTGCACCGAAGGGTCCACACTCTAACCAACTGAGCCACACCGGCCAGGAAAGAAATTCTTGAAGGTAAGAGTAAATTTAAAAATTAAGGCTTCCGCCCTAACCGGTTTGGCTCAGTGGATAGAGCATCGGCCTGCGGACTGAAGGGTCCCAGGTTCGATTCTGGTCAAGGGCATGTACCTTGGTTGCGGGCACATCCCCAGTAGGGGACGTGCAGGAGGCAGCTGATCGATGTTTCTCTCTCATCGATGTTTCTAACTCTCTATCCCTCTCCCTTCCTCTCTGTAAAAAATCAATAAAAAATATTTAAAAAAAAAAAATTAAGGCTTCCGTCATGCTCCTGGTCATCCTACCATGGCACTGTCGCAGGGGCTGCCTGGGCAGTATCAGCTGCGAACTCCTTGAAACTTTGTGCTCACTGGGTTTTGCCACATCAACATAATTGATATGGATACTACTGATGTCAGCAACCTCAACTGGCAGTTCTTATTTCAAAAGATCTTCTAGTTTTGAAGATCAAAGGTCCAGGTTGACAAGGACAGTGTACGGCAGTATTACCTGAAAGCGAGTATCACAGCCCATCATGACGGCAACATGAACCCCAACTATGATGTGGAATATTTTTGACAATTTATATTGGTTATGAATGCTTTAGATAGCAGAGCTGCCTGAGACCATATTAATAGGATGTGCCTGGCACCTGATGTTCCTCTTATTGAGCGTGGAACTGCTGGTTATCTTGGGCAAGTAACCACTATCAAAAAGGGCGTAAGGGTGTACCTGATTGTTATGATTGTCATCCCAAACCAACCCAGAAAACTTTTCCCAGCTGTACAATTCATAACACACCTTCAGAACCTACTCTTTGCATCATTTGAGCAAAGTAATTTTCAACCAGTTGTTTGAAAAACAATTAAGTAGTATATACTGAGAGAGCTGACACTGAAGCTTCCTGGAAACCAATGGAAGCTGAAGCCAGAGCAGGGCATTAAATGAAGAAGGTGACATTAAACCTATTTCCACAAAGGAAGGAGCTAAATCAACTGGATATAATCCAGTTAAACTTTTCTTTTTCTTTTTCAATCTTTTTACTGATTTCAGAGAGGAAGGGACAGGGAGATATAGAAACATGAATGATGAGAGAGAATCACTGATTGGCTGCCTCCAGCACCCCCTACCCCAACTGGGGATGGAGCCCACAACCCCACCATGTGCCCTAACCGGGAATCGTACCGTGACCTCCTGGTTCATAGGTCAACGCTCAATTACTGAGCCACACCAGCCGGGCCAGTTAAACTTTTTACCAAGCTTTTTAAAGCTGGTATCAGGTATCTTTTGACAATGGGCAAACTATGGGGAAAAAGGAAATCTCCAGTTCCACTGGACTAGGCTGAAGGACAGAGTCAAAGAAGAGACCAATGTATCAGATTAACAAAATTAATCTGTTAGGTCTAAAAAAACAGCAGGTTCTAGATGTAAAGAGCAATGCACATCTTTTTCAAAGAGCAATGAGACTTTGAGAGTTCATTTAGCAGAAAAAGGGAATGGAGCTGAGCTCATGTGGGACAAGGATGACCCAGCTGTAATGGATTTTGTCACTTCTGCTGCAAACTTCAGGATGCATATTTTCAGTATGAATATGAAGAGCAGATGTGATATAAAATCAATTGAAGGGAGCATTACTCCACTATCACTACTAATGCAGTAATTGCTGGGTTAATAGTATTGGAAGGATTGAAGATTTTATCAGGATAAATAGACCAGCACAGAACAATGTTGTTTTTTTAATCCTGACCCCAGGATATTTTTTTTTATTGATTTTTTAAATAGAGAGGGAGAGAGTGAGAGCGAGAGAGCAATAGAGTGAAAAACAACGATGTGAGAAAGAAAGAGTAATAGGTTGCCTCCCGTACGCGCCCCAACCAGGATTAAACCTGCAGTTTGTGTGTCTGCTGCCTTGGGTTTATCAATCATATTTATGGTAGGTATACTAAACTATTTCCTTTTATAAAACTAACTTGTAACAGATGTGTAGGTTAAGAGATCTCCACTGTTTGTCAAGGATGAGTACTTTCTAAAATAAAGCTTTTAATGACAATGTTGCTTTTTAATTAAAAAAATTTTGAGCAAATCATATTGATGTCACAACTGAAATTTTATCATATTTCAATGTTAACAATCTTAAATGTACATACAATATTTTTTTAAGCTATGAGTGTGCTCCACAAGACATTATGTATATCTGAATATATTCTAGTTTTGAATTTTCTTATGATGAGATCAGTTATATTCAGAAGTATTAGACTAAGCTAAATTAATATACAGTGACATAACTAGAAAATAATTTTATGTAAGGTTTGCTTCATAATTTTAGGCATGTAGCCAATAATCAAATGCACAATCATATGTTCCTCTGTTGTAATATCCTGTGCATCTCTTAGAATCCTTATAACATTTTCTTATCTGTAACATGTTATATGATTACATCCTTATGGAAAGTAATTGATCTCTACACGGAATGTCCAAATTATTATGACCACCTGACGTTTGTAGGCAAATTAGCTATAATTTCATGCTGAAGTTGCTAGAGGGCCAGACCATTATAAATAGGGAAGTGAGTTGTTTACCGTGACAGAAGTGAATTTTTTCAGAAGTATGGGTAAACAACGCGATTTAACAGCCTTTGAACGTGGGATATATTTGAATGTGAGTGGCCAGATTATTATGACCACCCCATCAATACTTCCTTGGGCCACCTTTTGCCTTCAATACTGCAGCGATTCTTCTTGGCATTGACTCCACGAGATGTTGAAAGGTGATGCGAGGAATCTGACAACATGCCTGATGAATAGCACTGTCCAGTTCTGTGAGATTTGATGGTTGTGGAACCAGCTGCCTGATGGCTCTTTTAACTTTGTCCCACAAATGCTCAATTGGATTGAGATCTGGTGATTGTGAGGGCCACCTAAGCAAGGTAAAGTCTCCCTCATGTTCTTGAAACCACTCCTGCACAATATGAGCACCGTGGCAAGGCGCATTGTCTTGTTGGAAGAAGCCATCTCCATTGGGATACGCCATCAACATGATAGGATGAATTTGATCAGCAACGATACTTAGGTATGTTGTGCTATTCAGACGTTGTTCCACATGAATTAAAGGGCCCAAATCATACCAGGAAAACATGCCCCAAACCATAACACTGCCCCCACCAGCTTGAAGGGTTGTACTCATGCTGTGGGGTGTATACTTTCATGCTGTTTCCACCAAATTCTCACTCTGCTATCTGCATGATGCAACTGGAAACATGATTCATCGGACCACATGACTTTTTTCCAGTGCTCGACTGTCCAATCCTTGTGTTCCTGTGCGAATTGGAGACATTTTATCTTGATAACTGCAGACAGCAAAGGTGTTCAAATAGGTCTTCGGCTTCCATATCCCATACGATGCAGTGTATGGCTAATTTGCCTACAAACGTCAGGTGGTCATAATAATCTGGCACTCAGAGTGTGTGTGTGTGTGTGGGATATATATATATATCCCATGTTCAAAGGCTGTTAAATCACGTTGTTTACCCATATCTTCAGAAAAAATCACTTTTACTGTCGTGGTAAACAACCTGCTTCCCTATTTATAATGGTCTGACCCTCTAGCAACTTCAGCGCGAAATTATAATTTGCCTACAAACGTCAGGTGGTCATAATAATCTGGCCACTCAGTATATATCCCAACATACAGCCCAGTGACTGTCCAACAGAAGTTAATAAACATTTGTTAAATCCTATATAATAAAAGGGTAACATGCAAAGCAACCAAAAGGTGGAACAACCGGTCGTTATGAAGCTCACTGACCACCAGGGGGCAGATGCTCAACACAGCCGGGATGAATGCTGGTGAGCACAGCGGCGCTGGCAGGAGCCTCTCATAAAGAGCAGCGCTAAGGATGTCCAACTGCAGCTTAGGCCTGCGGGAAGTGGGCCTAAGCCATCAGTCGGACATCCCCCGAGGGCTCCAGGACTGCTAAAGGGCACAGGCTGTGCTGGGGGATCCTCCCCCTACCCAAGTGCGTGAATGTCGTGCACTGGACTCTAGTAACTCTATAAGTTAGTATCAGAATGAAGTCATAATTCCCTATGGCCTTAATCCCAATGTATTTCCTTCCTCTATAAAATTTGACAAGTGTTTCAAAAATTAAGCTGACAGCCCTACCTGGTTTGGCTCAGTGGATAGAGCAGTGGATAGATCATTCGCCTGCAGACTGAAGGGTCCTGGGTTTGATTCTGGTCAAGGGCACATGACCAGGTTGGGGGATCAATCCCCAGTAGGGGGCATGCAGGAGGCAGCGAATCAATGATTCTCTCTTATCATTGATGTTTCTAACTCTCTCTCCCTCTCCCTTCCTCTCTGAAATCAATAAACATATATATATGTACATATATATTATGCTGACTTTCTTTTTGAATGAACTTACCTCAAAAGGATGCCTAAGCTGGCTGCACAGGCTTTTTTAGGAACCTGATGGAACTTAACATTTTTCACAGTGGGATTTTCTATTCTCTAGAATGTCTATACTTTGTACAGAAGTTGACAAATGTCTACATCGAGGAATGAACAATATTTGCTTACTGGTTACTTCCCAGCTGCCTCTTTTTTCCTAATCTCTGATTCTTTCACTGTACCTTGTATACCAATGCCAAGCAGGTCTGGCAAAGTCTGGACCTGTGTTTAAATTCCCATCAACCCTCCCAACATTTGAAAAAACAAAGAAGTGAGATGACATGATAATAATGCCCTGGTTCTTGCTTCAAGATTAAAGATGTTCAAGTTACAAAGTCAAACCTGCAGGGAAAGAAAACCTTAAATAAAAACACCACTTTTCAACCAACTGAGCCACACTGGCCAGGCTGGGCTTTTCTGATTCTTAAACTAAACTTGGTATCATAAAGCTGTCCTTATCTATGAAGAGTAAACAAAGTCTAACCCCAAGAGTCCCTAAACAAACGCTGATTCTAGTTTTTCATGACTGTGTAAAGCTCCTTTCCTTACATAAGTCTACTAGGACCCTTCATTTTGGTTCAAAAATATCAACTATTCAGAGTATCAACTGTACAAGCTCAATGGGAGAGATGTGGCTCATCAGCAGAAACAAAATTTGGGTTTTTTTTAATCAATAGTAAGTACACTGTTACTGAAAAGTGTGGGTTTTGCCCCGCTGGCGTGGCTCAATGATAGAGCATTGACCTATGAACTAGAAGGTCACAGTTCAATTCCAGGTCAGGACACATGCTCGAGTTGTGGGCTCAATACCCACTGGGGGGCATGCAAGAGACAGCCGATCAATGATTCTCTCTCATTATTAATAGTTCTATCTCTTTCCCTCTCTGAAATCAATAAAAATATGTATATTTTTAAAAAGAGTGTGAGTTTTTATTACCAAGAAAGCAATGTGATCTTAACATTAGTAAAAGTATACAACAAAGGCCGAAACCGGTTTGGCTCAGTGGATAGAGCGTCGGCCTGCGGACTGAGGGGTCCCGGGTTCGATTCCGGTCAAGGGCATGTACCTGGGTTGTGGGCACATCCCCAGTGGGAGGTGTGCAGGAGGCAGCTAATCAATGTTTCTCTCTCATCAATGTTTCTAACTCTCTATCTCTCTCCCTTCCTCTCTGTAAAAAATCAATAAAATATATTTAAAAAAAAAAAAGTATACAACAAAGGATCTCAAGTCCTGCTCTACTCTGTACCAATTAGAGCATACCTATAACATTGAGTCCCACAATTTAAGAGAAGTAGAATTAAACAAGAATATTCAGAAGAAAGTGATACTCATATGCACTGAAGGAAGTAGGTCTGTTTAGCACAGAAAAGAAGACTTAGGGGAAATATCCAGGCTAACTTCAAATATCTTAAAGAAGCAATCCAAGAAGAATAGCTGTTGAAATAATTTTTAATCCTTTTAACCCTGAGATGATGTCATCTCATGTTTACATAAATTCCTCCAAATATTTGAAACTATAATATTAAAAATCATTATATGTGCTAGAAATTAGAGTTAGCACTCAACTTTTATCTCACCATATTCACACCAAACTCATGCAACAATCGCCTATGAAGCCAATTATTTATAATAAATAACATAGCACTTACTTTTATTTGCATATTTGATGAAATATTTAACCAAGCTACTGATTTCTTGCATTTTTTTCTGCCTTGTGGCTTGTGTTGAGGCAGAAACATTTGGTTTTGCTGTTTTCAGACATTCTGTTTCTTTCTGAATATATTTCTGTAAAAATCTTCAGGAAAAAAAATGGAATTTTTTTAAATTCTTAAATTTAAAAAATTTAAATTTAAATACTTAAATTATTATAATAGCTTCGAAAAGTTCTTTATGCCACCATAAAGAACATCTTATAAATCATAGTTTCAATCAATGTACCAACTAAATGATATAAATTTCTTTTTCAATGCCTTAGCCCCAGAATACCAATTTAGAATCTGGTCTGCTCTTAATCTCTAACCTTCATGATTTTCTATTGTTTTATTTACTACCTGCTTTATTTTATCACTAGTGGCCCAGTACACAGATTTTTGCACATTGAAAGGAAATTAATTAGAAGAAATATTTTAATATCGCTATTCGTCCTTTCTCTGTAATAAAAATGTCAACCAAATTCGTGATCAACAATGACAGATCGAAACACATGCGTGTGAGTGGCGCTAGCAAGAGTTTTATATATCTCACACACGAGGGAGTCAACTTAGCCTTTTATATGTATAGAATAAACTTGCTTAATTAGACCTGCTTTCTCATGTAGCTAAACTTTTTCCAGGCCAGTGAAGCACTCCAACTTCTCTTTCAGATAATGGTCAGCAACACAGCATTAAATATCAACACAAAGCAGAGTATTATTGTCGATCACGCAGGGAGAACAAAGGGTAAAATATTTAACTGTAGCAGAACTTAATAGTTGAAAATTGTCTTAATGCATCAATTCTCTTTGAAGTCCAGCAACCAATTATAGCTTTCCAATTATATGCCTGAATTTTATTTAACTGCATTCATATATAATTATTCTAAAATTGCTTTCACTTTTCTATTATAATTTAACATCTGGTAGTTTCTTAAAGTAATATTTAAAGGTGTCAAAGTAATAATAATGCACTTGTCATAACTTGACCTTATTCTCTAATTTAAAACAGTCTTATGAACTAACTGATATGAAAAGAGTTCTCTCTATTCTTGAATGAAATATGCATAAGACATTTTACTGAAAAAATGATTTAAAATTAATTGTCTCTATATAAACATCTATTAAAAATTATGTTTCAGCCCTGGCTGGTTTGGCTCAGTGGATAGAGTGTCAGCCTACAGACAGAAAGGTCCCAAGTTTTATTCTGGTCAAGGGTACATGCCTGGGTTATGGGCTCGATCCCCAGTAGGGGGCATGCAGGAGGCAGCAATCAATGATTCTTTTTCTCCCTCTCCCTTCTTCTCTGAAATCAATAATAATATATAATTTTTAAAATTATATTTTAGATAAATAGTAAGCGCCAACTTCATATGCAAGGCACAATGTTATACAGGAGACAAAGAGAAATAAAATCTAAATATAGACCCCAAAAAATCACAACAGAAATAAAAATAAAAAACAAATACAGTAAAAATATTAGAGCCTGGCTGGCATGGCTCAGTGGTTGAGCATTGACCTATGAACCAGGAGGTCACAGTTCAATTCCCGGTCAGAGCACATGCCCAGGTTGCAGGCTCAATCTCCAGTAGGGGGCATGCAGGAGGCAGCTGATCAATGATTCTCTCTTATCATTGATGTTTCTATCTCTCTCTCCCTCTCCCTTCTTCTCTGAAATGAATAAAAATATGTTTTTTAAAATTAGAATAAAATACCTAAAAACAGCATCCCAATTCAAATATTTTCCTTGTTTGGAATCAGAATGTCGATCTAAATGTTGAACTGTTTCAGGATCCCGAATTAGTTGCTTAAATTTCTCAACTTCTTTCTGAAAATGAAAAAACAAGCACAATAATGGGTTACCAATCACACGCTTGTTTCAAGCAAAGACAAATTTAAGTAATTTACTACCCTTCGTTCCGTAGCTCTATCATGTTCTAGTTGACGGCAGCAAATAAGCAGATCATTAAGTGCTAGACTCATGGTTCAGGATTTCAGAAAACACATCACTGTAAAAACAATACATACACAAAATTATTTCAGACCGTGTCATTAATATACAGTTAGAGCTACAACTACAGACATATTGTGATCAAGGGCAGGATGGTTTTTCTTAACATTTCCATACTTAGATGAGGTTTTCTTAGTATATACCACAACAAAGCTTCAAAATGCAATGTGTACTATGTGTGCAGTAGCAAGATAAAAATATTAAAGTTATAATTTATTTTTCTGAGACCTCTTCTAAGAAACACGACATTTAAATTGAAACACAGCCCTAACCGGTTTGGCTCAGGGGATGGAGCGTTGGCCTGCGGACTGAAAGGTCCCAGGTTCGATTCCAGTCAAGGGCATGTACCTTGGTTGCGGGCACATCCCCAGTAGGAGGTGTGCAGGAGGCAGCTAATCAATGTTTTTCTCTCATTGATGTTTCTACCTCTCTATCCCTCTCCCTTCCTCTCTGTAAAAAATAAATAAAATATATTTAATAAATAAATAAAAATAAATTGAAACACAAAAATGAATGGAAGACAGCCAGGCAAAAAGTAAGGAAAGGCGCACTTAAGGATTTAACACTGACCATCTGAACTATTTAAAAGCACCCTTTCCTATGTGTAATGACATCATATAGCTGAGCCAAAAACCTAAATTGCTTATGCTTTGGGATTGATATGCAGAAGGTTATCAGAGCTAGGAAGCCCTGCATAGCATTTCCATCTTAATTGGCTTCATGATTCTATTTAATACATAAAAACAGGAGGAAAATTATATTCTTGTTTTAAAAGGAAATGATGGAAATGATAAGCCATAATGATATCTTTTGCAAATGTCAAAGGTTAACTATATTTTACTGTGCCTTAATACCACTGCAGTAGCCCTCCTCCTTTGGTAATCAAACTTTCCTTTGGAAACCTTCGAAAACATCTTGTAAGAAAAACATTTTAGTATTTGAGTCCTTTTATAAAAAAGGCTCATTTCTGTTACACAATGTTAATAAACAAAGAAAAACATACACATTATGTCTATGATATCTACACGTACATATATATCACAAGAGAAAAAACTGGGAAAAGTCCTTTTCCCATCCATCCACGTATGTTCTACTCGATCTTTCAGGATCAAGTATGTTTATCGGGCCATGTTTAATCTCACAGAATCTCAAAAGTGGGAGGAAATGAGAGATCATGTCCCATCTTCCTTCAAAGGAAGAAATCCCTCCTAAATGTTATTGTCCTTTCTTCAAACACTTGCAGTGAAGGCAAACTACCTAATAAGAATTCCTAGTTAACCGGCAGATACCTCTAATTCCCTTCTCCATTAGTATTCATTGGTTGTTCTGACCCCTTCAACACCATTACAAACTCTGCTGTGGGTTACAGGATGTTACTTACTTATAGTATTTTTCATTTGACTATATACTTGTTCAGAACAGGACTGTAATTTTTGTTTTTCCATCCCCTATGTTTGTATCTAGGACTCGTCCCCCTTCTTGCTCAATCTTAAAGTCCTCTTGATTGGCCAGTAAGAAAAATAAAACACCTTAGCAATATTCAAAGAACCATAAAAGTAGGCACCTTTATTCCTAAATATACTAAAGATGTTATTTATAATGTGAAAAAAAAATGCATGTTTCCTAAACATGTGACACATCCAGGAAGAGGCAACTCTAAACTTGTTTTTTAAGCTGTGGCTTTTCTGAACTTGTTTTTTCTCTTCTTCAGTTTCTCAAAGATTGATTACTTTTAAGAGAATGAAACAGTTCAGTATTAGCTACATAAACAGGAAATGTTACTCACTGATACATGAAACTGTATTTATTGGGCAACTGCTGTGTCCAAGGTACTAAATTAGGAGAATCTAGATTTATAATGAACCAAACAGACACAAATCCTACCCTCGCTGAGTCATAACTAGTGGGAGAGAGTGACAATAAACAAGTACACTAATAAATCAATGCATAATTCCAAACTGTGATATGACTCAAAGGAAACAAACACACAATAAGAGGATTATATATATAAAAGCCTAAGTGACCAGCCGACCATTCGACAGTCCAACCGGTAGCTGTGATGTGTACTGACCACCAGGGGGCAGACGCTCGACGCAGGAGCGGAAACCACAGGCATGGAAACATGGAATAGACTGATGAATCTCAGAGGATAGGGGGAGGGAGGAGGGTGGGAAGAGATGAAATAAATATCTTATATGCATACTAGAGGCCCAGTGCATGGATTCGTGCACGGGTGGGGTCCCTCAGCCTGGCCTGCGCCCTCTCGCAATCCGGGACCCCTCGGGGGATGTTGGAGAGCCAGTTTCAGCCCAATCTCCGCAGGCCAGGCTGAGGGTCCCCACTGGTGCATGAATCTGTGCACCAGGCCTCTAGTTTTTTTTCTTATAAACTATTAGGGAAAACGTCTCAGAGGAGGTTACAATAAAGCCAAGATCTGAATGAAATTGTGCTAATCACAGAAAGAGCTGGAGAACAGAGATATTAGGGGGAAAGAGTAGTCTAAGGGTCCTAAGATGGAAAAAGCAACCAAAAGAACCAGAGAGTAATCAGCTACAATAAGAGTGTCATCCGTTAAAGCTGAAATCAACCAAGGCATTAATTCAGAACAATCTAGCTTCCCTTCCCAACATGCAACTAAATGATCTCTATTTCCTAAGTAACAGCCTCTGGATCAGCAAACCCAGTGCTGACCCCTTTGCAGAATTTGACAATAATGACAAATCCTATCTCTTGAATGTGATCCAGCCCTTGGGATGCCATTCTCTTCTAGTGGTAAGAGCGTGGGCTCTGTACTCAGACTGTACTGGTGCTACTGTTTATAAGCGGTGGAACCTTGGGCAAGTTAGCTACTCTCTCTTCATCTCAGCTTTCTCAATGATAAAATGAAAGAAAAAAAATAATGCATACTAGAGCCTACTTCAAAGCGGTACTGTGAGGATTCATGTACCTGTCCAACAGTGCGTGGAACACAGCAAATGCTCAATAAATTACCGTTAGCAATTACCCTTTGTTTCGTCAGTCCATTGTGATGGTTCTTCTCCCACCCACACTCGAAAGAACATCCTTGTTTCCTGACTTCTCCCTCTGATTTTAACCCAGTGGGACCTCATCCATTCCTATGATTTCGACATGTTGGCAATGCCCACATTTAATTTCCTTTAATACCAGACCTCACTTTGGAGCTTCAGGCACCGTCTGCACTTTGCTCCTTGACACGAATGTTTGCCTTCTGTGCAGAAAGCTCCCACCACCCTCCGGGGCAATTCAACACTGGGAGGGCTCGGCCAAAACTGAATTGATCTGTTTGCAGACAAGCTCATTCACCCCTCTGCTACCACCGTGCTCTTCTGCCACATTTTCATCCTGAATTTAAGTCTTTTTTCTTAATCTGAACCGGGTCAAAACAGCAGCGGACGCTCTAGAATGCTCACCACAGGAAAGAACGGTCACGAGGAAGGCAGGAGCGCGTGGTCACTCCGCTGCCGGCCAGAGGGCGGACCCCAGCGGGGTGAGGAGTCCAGAGCCCAGGCTCTTCGCCACGCGACTGCGGTTTACTCTGCAACAGATGCTTGCTGATTCCAACTAATTGCCAGAGGGGGAGAAAGTGGATCAGTCATCTAGTTAAATCTGGACGCGGAGGAGGGTTCCTCAGGGGACTGAGAGGAAGGTCTGTGGCTAAATCTGCTGCGGGAGAGAGTGACGAGGACGGGAGCCCCGGAAAGGTGCAGAGAGGGAAGGGGGTGCAGAGAGGGCCGTCCGGGACCCAGGACAGTCGGCTCGGACGACTCGATTCCCCGGCAGCCCGGCTCCCGCGCCACCACCGCTGGACTCCGACAGCCCAAAGGCAATCTCCTGCGGGGACGGTGGCTGCAGCCCAAATCGCCTCAGCCCGCGGCCGCAGATGCTGGAGTCCGCTATCCGCGCACCATTCCCGCTTCCGGTTCAAACCTGGCGAGACAGCGCAGCCTTGGTCCCGCGAGGAAGTGAGGCTGCCCCGGCGCCGGAGTCCGTCTGCCCATGCGCGTGAGCATCCCTCGCCCTCCGCGGCCGGGCCTCGCTCCCCCAAAACACTGGGCACGTCCGCGGAGGCGCCTGCGCCGTGCCCACCAATGGCGTGCGCCCTGGCCTCTGCGGCTCTCCCGGCGGCTGCGGCTCCTGGGCGTGCACCACGCCTCCTCGGCCCCTTTAACCCCACCCCTCCAAATCAGAGGGAGGAAATGACGACAGTTTCCAGGAGCACGGAGGCGGGTTTCTTTTCGGCGCCTTTCTTTCTCCCGCGGAGGCGATTGGCTGGCGTGGAGCGAAAGAGGCGGGACGAGTTGCCGCGGGTTCAGTGCCGCCACTGGAACCGGGAGATGCGGCGCAGCGGCCGTCGCTGTGTCGGCTTTTACCCGAGGCTTGTCTCCTATTGCGGTTCCTTCTGCGGCTTCGATTATGCTGTTACCTTCGGACGTAGCCCGGCTGGTGTTGGGTGAGCTCGGCCGCGGGAGGGCGGGATATGAGACCAGCTACGCCGGACGGAAAGACCTTTGGGGCCAAAGGTTTCCCCGGGTGGGGAAGCTCTGGGGTTCTGCCTCCCCGCCGACTCCTGCAGCCCGGAGGCGGCGGCGCTTCCTCCGCCGGGGGCTCGGCAGTCTTCGCCTCTTTGTGCGTGGATGCGCCTCTCTGCGGGGCTGCGGGGCGCGGGGCGCGGGAGGGGAGCGCGGAGGAACACCTGAGGCCGGGTCCGCGGGCAGGGCGGGCCTGCACACCTCGCCGGGACCCCGAGGGCGAGTCGTCTACGTGACGGATGGACGGACGGCTGCGTGTTTTCCAGCCTTGGGTGCGCTTTCCCAGGTCAGGGCTGGGACCAAAAGAGGGAAAAAAAACAACAAAAAAAAACAGGACTTCCCCTGCCGCCCAGCTTGGTGGAAAGACCTTCCTGACGCCCTTCTCGTCACTCGCTTTGACGGCTGCGAGTTTGGGCCGAATGGGGTGTTCTCTCTCCACCCGCCGCAATTAGTCGGTCCCGTCTAGAGGTTTCAAATGCCAGTTGCATATTTTAAAACAGAAGCAATGCCTTTTGGGGGGGCCTGGGGCGGGGGCGGGGGGACTAGCAAGAAACTTCACATGGGAAATGACTTTCAGTTGACTTTTCTGAGCCCTGGTGAGTTTTTCCTCCATTTGCGGAGGCTTTAGTTCCTCGGGCCAGTGGTCAAGGTGTCCTGTCTGGGTGGGAAACAGGTGTTGTTGCTTGTGCCCCGGAAGAATAAAGAGGGTTGTACGGCTGGGGACGAGAGCCCCGTTAAACTCAGAACACGAGCCAATGATTTGCAGACATCCCTGGAAGTTAAATGGTAAACATCTGCGATGAAGCTTCCCATAGTGTCTACAGTCATTCCTACCGACCGTTGTTTTATTGGTAGGAAAACCCATCTGTCTTTTTTCTTTTTAAAATACCCAGCTGTTGTCCAAAGAAGTGGTGTTTGGTGCACGGGCTTGTGATAGACACCTTTGGCAGGAAATATTAGAGGGTAGTGGTTCCATCATCCATTTTTTTGATCAATTAACTTCATGGCTTAAGTTTAAAGGGATATTTTTGTTAATGTTTGGCTAATCTTTTGCCCACTTAACCAGAATTGAGTATCAGTAGTTAACCCACATCTATATCTTGTATGTATGAGAAAAGGCTGTCTTGTAATTGTTCTATTAGACTTGCATGTAATCCAGTCCAAAGTAGACTTTCACAGTGTTTACGATCACATTGACATACTTTTTTCCCCCCCCTCCATGCAGTGTTCACTTAAGAATTTTTGAGTTTGGGCAGTTTGGTAATCCAGTAACCGCAGTCTTCAACAGGATTTCTTGACCTGGCATTGTTGACATTTTGGGCCAGGTAATTTTTTATGGAGAACTGTCCAGTGCATTGTGGGATGTTCAGCAGCATCCACCACCTCTATCCTTTTGATGCCAGTAGGGCTCCACTCACCCTCTGTCCAGTTGTGACAACAGAAAGTGTCTCCAGATATTGACAGTATGTTCCCTGTAGGGCAAAAAAATCACTCTCAATTAAGAACCACTGGTTTTACAAAAGCAATTTGATTTTCTAAGTGGAATAATTTACACCAACTTGTGAGTCTTTATTCTCCACAAAGCAGCTGATCTGCTTGACTTCCTACTGTTTTCAATGGTCTCCAGTCATGGTTTTCGTATCCTAAACTAGTTCTTTGTCTTTCACATTCCATTTTGATTGCCACCTACCCTAGCAATATGCCTCCTACTACTTCTCTTTTGGGTTTTTGTCCTTGCTTCTCAGATAGTCTTGCCATTCATCTTTACTGTTACAAAACAAAATCTGCCTAAAGCATTCGCACTACACCTCCTATTAAAGTTGAAACAACTGTGCAGTTACCAAAAATTTCAAGTTGTACAAAAGAATATATAATAAATCTTCCCGCATTAACTGCTCTTGCTTTTTTGTCATGTATTTTGAAGCTCATATCAGCATGTAAAGACCTACAATTACAAAACGTAGTGACTTAAAATATTAACAGGTTTATTATTCACTCATGATTCTTCTCTTGTCAGTACTCCCTCCCCATCTTCAGCCCCTCTCTTGATGTTGGACCTTTTCCTTTATATTGTTCTTTCAGCAAATCTTTGGATGCCTGCTATGTTCCCGACACTGCCAAATGCTAAGAATAGAGAGAAGGAAGTTCTCCCCTCAGAGTTCATGTAATTAGGATTTTTACCCTTACACATACACACACACTAAACACTTTCCTACACCCACCTCACATTCTGTCTAATGCTCCATCATCTTTTCACAAGTCAAATTTATTCAAAAAACAATAAATTCTACTTAGTTGCTCTACTTGCTCACCTAACTTTCGTTTTTCTTTTTAACATACATATATTTATTGATTTCAGAGAGGGAGAGAGAATTGGAAGCATCAATGCTGAAAGTGATTGATTGGCTGCCTCCTGCACACCTCCTACTGGGGATCAAGCCCGCAACCCGGGCACGTGCCCTCGACCAGAATCAAACCTGGGAACCTTCAGTCTATAAGCCAATGCTCTATCAACTGAGCCAAACCGCTACGGCTAACTTTCATTTTTCAACATACAGCAGTGACGTTTGTACCTCACTACTCCATTTAAACAGCTCTTGCTACTCAGCTACAGCCAGCTGTTGCCTTGCTGGAAATTGTTTCATTATTGCACAAGCCAAATGCATCAAAATATTGTTTATTGCCTCTGGATCACAGTTTTGTTTTTATCAGCATGTCATACAAAGTGCTCTGTGGAACTGATCCTGCTTCATCTCAACTTCTCAACATCTGATCTGTGCTTCAGGAATACCAGACTACTTGCAGTGTCTCCCGTTTTTCCTATGCGTTCTGTTCCCTCTGCCTGCAGTATTTATTCTCCTTGTCTTCCTAAGTACTTACATTCATTGTTCAGGTCAAACGTAATCTCTGAAACCTCGTCCAGCAGGTATAGTTAGTACTTCTTAAATGTTTCCACAGCATTATACATTACTTCTGTTACACCCTTACCATGTTTTATGGTAGCTGTATGTTTGCTTTCCTTTTTTTTTTCCTTAGAAAACATATGCAAAATTTAACTATTTCAGTGATTTTTAAGTGTACAGTTCTGTGGCTTTATTTACATTCACGTTGTTCTGTAACCATTACTGTTATCCCCCTCTAGAATTTGTTGTGGTCATTAATCCTCACCCCTAGTATATTCCTCCAATGATTCTCAGAGAAAGTGGAAGGGAGGGAGAGAAGCAGAGAGAAAAACATCAATGTGAGAGAGACACATCAATTGGTTGCCTCCCACATGCATCGACCAAGCCAGGGGTCGAGCCTGCATTCCAGGTATGTGTCCTTGACTGGAATTGAACCTGGGACCCTTCAGTCCACAGGTCGATAGATACTGTATCCACCGAGACAAACAAGCCAGGGTACCCTCTAGAATTTTATTTCTAGAAAGTTACTCACCTTTTTATCATATTCAGTATTTTTAATCTGGGATTAATGGGCAGGCTTCAAAAGTTCTGGGATCCCACAAACTATCTGTAAAGGTTTATTTGCAGATAGCGTGTTTTATGGGTGAAGTGTCCAAAACTTTCTTTTTTAAAAACAAATATACTTTTACTTATTTCAGACAGGAAGGGAGAAAGAGAGAGAGAGAGAGAGAGAGAAACATCAATGAGGAGATACATCAATCGGCTGCCTCCTGCACACTCCCTACTGGGAATTGAGCCTGCAACCTGGGCATGTGCCCTGACCGGGAATTCAGTCATGACTCCCTGGTTCATAGGTCATACCTCAACCACTGGGCCAGAACTTTCTTAGGATTCCTAAATAGGTTTGTTCCTTTCTGTATGAGTCAACATCCATTCAGGAAAATTGAAACCGGTCTGAGTATTTGACAGTAGAGACCCGGTGCATGAAATTTGTGCACTCGGTGGGGTGGGGGGGTGTCCCTCAGCCCGGCCTGTGCCCTCTCACAGTCGAGGAGCCCTTGGGTGATGTCCGATTGACAGCTTAGGCCCTGGTGAGTGGGCTTAAGCCAGCAGTCAGACATCTTTAGTGCTGCCAAAGAGGCAGGAGAGGCTCCTGCCACTGCAGCCTGGCTTCTGGCTGAGCGGTGCTCCCCTTGTGGGAGCTCACTGACCACCAGGGTGCAGCTCCTCATTGAGCGTCTGCCCCCTGGTGGTCAATGCATGTCATAGCGACCAGTTGCTCTGCAGTTCAGTCGATTTGCATATTAGGGTTTTATTATATAGGATAATAATACTGTCATTGCTGACATTTACAACTTTTTTATGATCCTTACCCATTCTGTCTTTTCAGTTGTATCTCCAACTGTTCTATCACATACATTGTGCTTCATCCAAACTGGGCATGTTTCC